CCTGTGGGGTCAACTGGCCTAAACTGTGTCACTTAACAGATGGGCAGACTGAAGCGGGGTCAGGGAGTGTGGCTGCTCAGGACACAGGAGGCCTGGGCTGTCCTCTGGCTGTAATGCTGAGGTCCTGCTTTTAGAGCCAGCCCCTGGCTTGGCAGGGGTTGAAGATCTGAGCCAATAGTAGTGGCCACTTGTTGGCCAGAGGAAGGGCTGGCCTTGTGTGGTAGGTATGGAGGGCTAGGAAGAGCAGGGGAGGGCTGGGATCATGCCTTTGTCATCCTGCTTTCCAAGTGACAGGCTGCAGTAAAAGGCTTGGCGGGCCCAACTCTTCTGGTTCCAGGTAGAGGCAAGCCCCAAATAAGCTGAACTTCAGAGGGCCCCTGGCCTCCAGCAGACCCTCAGCCTCAGGGAAATGGGGGACAAGAGGTAAAGAGAAGGCGGGGATGAGAGACGGACAGAGGGATAAATATGAGATGAGAGACAAATAAGGAATCAGAGCCACGGGAAGATGAGAAACAGGCTGAGTGCCGCGGCTCATGCCTGTAATACCAGTGCTTTAGGAGGCCAAGGTAGAAGGATCACTTGAGGCCAGGAGTTGGAGACCAGCCTGGGCAACATAACCAGATCCTGTCTCTACAAAAATAAAAATAAAAATTAGCTGGGCGTGGTAGCTTACACCTGCAATCTCGGCACTCTGGAGGCTGAAGCGGGAGGATAATTTGAGCTCAGAAGTTTCGGGTTGCAGTGAGCTACAATCGCTCCACCGCACTCCAGCCTGGGTAACAGAGCAAAACCTTGTCTCAAAAACAAACCAAAAAAATGAAAGAAACAAAGATGAGAAACAGAGACAAAATGAGCAAAAAACAGAAGGCCCATCTGGGGGACTGTGAACCCCTGGGCTCAGCTTCGAGAGTACAGGCCAGGACTCTCACCCAGTACTCCTGACACCCTCCACCTTTCCCCTCCCCCGGTGCCAAGAGCCTCTGTAATCCCCAGGGCAGGGGGCACCAACAGTTAGCCTGGGTTGGGGACAGGTGGATCAAGGACTCTTCAGGCTGCACCCTTGAAACCTGGGGCACCTGAGAAGCAGCACACACACGGCCAGATTTCAGCTGGGACCTTTTGGGAAGTTGGACACCCGTCTCACCCTCCGGCCTGCCAAGCTGGCCAGGCCCTTCACAAATCCTGACATCTGGCATGAGGTGGGCTGCTGCTGCAAAACTCAAGCCTACAACAGGACCCTTCATGGCTCCCAGGTCCCGCAGGACCAGGGCTCAACCTCTAGGCCAGACAGTTGGGGCCTGCAGAATCAGGCTGCGGCTGCCTCCCTGCTGCACCTGTCACCATTGCCTCGGCCCCATGCTGTTCTGGTACAACTACTCAGAGGCCCTTCCTCTGCCACCTGCCCTGCACACATGCTGTTCTGATGATCTGGAATACTCGCCCCTGCCTCCCACACACTCACCCCTGGCTGGCTGACTTCCACAGTGAAGAGTAAGAACATAAGACCTAGGGCACCCGCTCCCTGCCCAGTCCCGGGTTCCAGGCCTAGGCCTGCTGCTGCCCGGTGCCCCGCCCTATGACCTCAGGCAGTCTCTCCCATTTTCTAAGCCTCAGGAAACGTTCCGACAAAAGTGGACTGGGTGCTCGTGAGGGGCCAAGCACTTCAAGCAAACCAAATAGGTTCAGTCCCTGTCCTGCTGGCCTTCCCATCAGGCGAGGGCAGATGTGGGCCTAACCCCGATCAAGGTGAGCTTTAGGAAGAGCGTGCATGGGGTGGGGGTTGGGAGGGGTTGCAGCCTCCTCCTCTGTAAATGGGGTTAATATCAGGGTACAGCTCACACAGTTGTAGTAGGGATGCACTGAGAGCAGATGAGGAACATGCCAGCACAGTGAGGGCTCAATCACTCGGCTATGTTGATTGCCATGATTATGACTGTCAACTGTCACAGTGCCAAACCACCTCCGGCCCCAGTAATCTCAAACATTCCGCTCCTAGAACCCAGGAACTTCTCCCACTCTTCCCTCCAGCCTACATGTGTCCTCCATGTTCCCTAAATATGACTGGCAAGCTCCCACCTCAGGGCCTTTGCATTTGTTGTTTCCCTGGTCTGGACCAACCCTTCTTCAAATATCCTCAGGGCTCCCTCCCTCGGCCCTTCCTCCCTTCAGGCCTCCCTTCAGGCCTTCCTTCGAATGTCACCTGCTCAGGGAGGCCTTCACGCCCCCTCCCTAAAATGTCATCCCGTCCCCAACATTTCAGGTCCCCCTCCCCTGCTATATATTTGCTCCACAGCGCTTGCCACCACTGGGCATGTGAGACAGTTATTTGTCAAGTTTATTGCCTGGCTATCTACTAAAATGCCAGCTCCATTTTTTCTTTTTCTTTTTTTGAGACAGAGTCTCGCTCTGTCATCCAGGCTGGAATGCAGTGGCGCGGTCTTGGCTCACTGCAACCTCCGCCTCCCGGGTTCAAGAGATTATCCTGCTTCAGCCTCCCGAGTAGCTGTGATTACAGGGGCCTGTCACCATGCCCAGCTAATTTCTGTATTTTTAGTAGAGTCGGGGTTTCTCCATGTTGGCCAGGCTGGTCTCGAACTCCTGACCTCAAGTGACCCACCCAATTTGGCCTCCCAAAGTGCTAGGATTATAGGTGTGAGCCACTGTGCCCAGCCAGCTCCATTTTTTTCTGTCTTGCTCACCACTCTGCCCCCAGAGCCTAGAACACGGGCTAGAAGATAGGTGTTCAACATGCATTGCGCCTGGTTTCTCATTTTATCAGGCCCAGAGGGGTCAAGTACTTCCCCAAGATCACACAGTGAGCGGATAGAAGCAGAGAGGCCAGTGGAAAGGAAGTTGGAGAAACCAGTTTGGCAAGTCTCCTCCCCTACCTCCAGGTCTGGAGGAGATAAGAGGCCTTGACTGCAGATTTGGGGCACCAGGCTGTCTGCAGACTGTGATTCAGGCATGGCTGTTCAGAGAGTGAAGCGCACTTGGGGAAACCAGAAATGGACAAATAAGCAATTGATCGTGGTGAGGTGGGGAGACAGCAATCCCTGGGGAGGCTCAGAATGCCTGGGAATGATTTGGGCTGTCTGAAAGTAGGCAGGGTTCACAGGAGCAGGCAGAGCTGGACACTAAAGAGGGAGGCCCTTGAATCCTTATCCCCAATTCCCAGGTGGGGAGTTTGAGGACCAGAGAGGTGAGGTGGATCCCCCACAGCAAAGGTCAGACTACTGTTAACAACAGGGAGTGCCTACTGAATGCCAGGCGCCGCACCACAGTGGACGATCTCATTTCCACTTCCTAACACAAAGGGGCAGATAAACTTTAACTTGCAAGGAAACCAAGGGGAAAAAGAGACGGAAAGTGGCTTGGACCAGGTCATACAGCTGAGTAATAGAGTCAGGATGTTAACCCTGGCCTACCTCCAGGAGAGCCGGAGGTTGTAAGTCCGTAGGCTGGGTGCCTTGGGTACAGGCCTGAAGAAACCATAGCGGCATGGACCAGGTGCCCAAGTCAGGAGTTAAAAAATCACATACAGAGAATGGAGTGGTCTAGGACCCAGTGAGGAATCGCAAATGGCCCATGGCCATGCTGCTTTTTAAGGAAGAGACAGCATGGAACCCAGACCCGTGAGGGTGGAAAGCTAAGGTGCTAGTGACCCAGACCCACTCCAGGCAAGGGCTGCGTGTGGTGCTTGGTGGCTGCCCCACAGCAAAAGGATGTCAGAATGTTTGACAAACAAAGCTTGATGCGATGGTGACACCTAGGCAGAGGTGCCTCCCAGTAACCGGTGCCTCCCAGTAACCTGAATCTGGAGTTCTCAAAGGCGCTTCCTTAACCCCTGGGGACACAGGGCCCTTCTGAAGCCAAACAATAAAACTCCTAAGGCTCAACATAGGAGTCAGAGAAGGTGGGGGTGCCCCAGCGTGCTTGCTGGAGCATATACAGTGAGCAAAGCAGGAAGAAGCTAGGGAGAAACCGTGGCCCCAGGGAAAGGGGCAGAGGGAGAGGTGAACTCCAACTTGTGATCTGGTCTGGGGAATATGGGGGTTCCAGTCCCAAGTCCTAAGGAAGGGGCTAATACATGGACGTGACGAAGGGGCAAGAGCTGGAGTTGGGGCTTTTGTACAGGGGAGCTTACACTGGGGTACGTTCAGTCCCTTCACTGCCTGGGATCCAAGAATATGGGTTAAGGACTGATGCTCCCCACTGGAGGGTTGAGGAGAGGATATCGGTCTGTAGCCACTGAAGCTATCACTAGGATGGGGTTTTGGGGGAAGGGTGTGGGGGGTACCGTGCAGCTGGAAGCCCCTGAGTTAGGGTTCCCTGGGCAGAGGAGCTGACATTCCCAGGTTAGGGAAGTGAGGTCATTGTCTGCAGCCCAGGGCCTGGGCTAGGGCACAGAGGAGGCACTAGGGTGTAGATTCCAGATTTGGGGAACCTGGGATGAGGTGTGACTTTTAGGGGCCTGAGGGCAGTGCTTATAGCTGAAGGGCAGCTTTGGGCTTGGACTGGGTCCTGCAGGGATGACGAGGTGGGGTTCTAAGTCTAGGAGCACTCTTCGCAACCAAGAATGCCCCGGGGCTAGGATTCCGTATCTGCGGGTCCGATGGGAGCTCCATTTGTCGCCCAGGAAGCTCATGGTAGTTTCTTGATCTGGGGAGTGTCTTTGCAGCCAGGAAACCCCGGGGCCAAGGTTCTGGCTTGGGTTTGGAAGGGACGCTGGGGTGGGGTCCCCGAACTTAGGGGCGCTATTTGCAAGTAGACACCCAGGCTGGAGTTCCGCATCTGGGCCCGAGGTTGGGGCTCCAATCTAGGGTCGCTGTCCACAGCGGGGGCTGGTGACCGCAGGCCTGGAGGGGGGCCCGGAGGTCTTACCTGGCGAGTAGAGCGCAGCCAGCTCGCGGGCCCCAGCGTGCTGCGCGCCCCAGCGGCAACAGGACGCCTCGTCCTCGTCCAGCTCCAGCTGCTGGCCCGGCCCATCCTCGGCGCCCGCCATGGCCACTCGCCCGACCGGCCCGGTGCGCTCTGCTGGCGGCGGCGGCGGCAGGGCCGCGGAACCGCGGCGAGATCACGCCGCCCAATGACCGCCCAGCGCCGGGCGCGGCGGCGCCGCGGGCGGGGTCCTCGCCCGGCCGCGCGTCACAGCCAATCGGGGCTCGCGCTGGAGCCGCGCAGGCCAATCGGATGCCGCTGAGCCGCAGCCAACCGCCGCGAGCCAGAGGCTGGGCCGCAGCTGGACGCAGCTGGGCGCGGAAGCGTGGGGCGGAGGCGCGTGCCCGCCTGACCCGCTCAGCCGCGGCTGGGTTCCCGGCTCCAGCCCACCTGGAGCTCCCGGCGCGTCGCCGCCCACCTAGGCTTCGGTTCACTGGCCCTTGCAGTGGGCCGAGGCTGGGCCCAGAAATGGGCATTTCTTGAGCCCGCAGCGTTAAGCGCCCACCGTGTGCAAGGGACGCGAAGGCAGGGCGCCGGGCCGGGGCGGAGGCCAGGGAGCGTTTGGCGGGTGCTTTGTACAATGCTCCCTGGCGAGGCCGATGGACGGTGGGCTGGTTTATCAAGCCCTACTGTGTGCAGAGGTTTCGGGGACCGTGCGTTCATCAGCTGTGTGCCAGCTCTGTGCTGTGCGCCCAAAGAGGAGAAACCTCGAGCCTGTCCCGCATCTTCCCCAGCTCAGGTTCTCCCGATGGAGAGGACAGTCAGCTAATGAAAATGACAGCTAGGGTCACTATGAGATTTGCTGAGCGCTTAATATCTGTCAGGCGCTGGACCAAGAGCTAGACAAGCAACATTTATTTGACTCTTAAACACCAATGGTATTGCCTCCTCAGAGAGCCCCACCACCACCACCCTGCTCAAAGGTGCCCCCTCCTCCAAGTCACTGTGACATCACCCTGTTTTGTCTTCACAGCGCTTGTGGTGGGGATTGAGCTTGCAGTCCCTGTCTCTCCTATCAGAGAGCAAGCTCCTGAGGGCAGAGAACAGCTTTGGTCACAGCAGAGCCCCCGTGCCAAGATTGGGGCTGGCACATGGTAGAAGCTCAATAAATGCCTGATGAATGAATTAAGGCTCAGCCAGATGCGTTTAGTACTTCAGCAGATAAATGACAGCAGCAGGGATTTACCCCAGGTCTAACTGACAACAAAGTATGCAATAATTGCTCATAGAAATTCCATACAGGCTGGACGCGGTGGCTCACGCCTGTAATCCCAGCACTTTGGGAGGCCAAGACCGGTGGATCACCTGAGGCCAGGAGTTTGAGACCAGCCTGGCCAACATGGTGAAACCTTGTCTCTACTAAAAATACAAAAATTAGCCAGGTTACTTATCCCAGCTACTTGGGAGGCTGAGGCAGGAGAATCACTTGAACCTGGGAGGTGGAGGTTGCAGTGAGCCGAGATGGTGCCATTGCATTCCAACCTGGGTGACAAGAGTGAGACTCGGTCTCAAAAAAAAAAAAAAAAAAAAAAATCCATACAGTGAGATCACATAGGAGCCTCCCTAGAGGCTGTGGAAGGTCCTGAGAGGTGCTGAGGGGAGCAGAGAGGGGAGGTAAGAGTCCCTTCCAGAATCCAGGTTCTCTGAGGGTTTAAGTCCTGGATTCCTGCACTACCAGTCACCCCAGGGCTGTTTCCTGAGTGTTCCTGCCATAGAGAGCCACTGTCCCCCACCAGGCCTATGCTCCCTCCGTTTCTTTCCCACACCTCCTCCCAGGAAGGAAAAGCCACCTTTCAGTGGCAGGGATGGGTTGCAACCCAAGTCCTGGTGAATTCTGGTGAAGCTGGCTGGTTTTGCATCATGTATTAACAGCACAGTTAATCCAACAGTTGGATTTTTTAACCCAGGAGCTTAAGGCTGGAGGGGGGGTTTGGTGGCTTTGGTGGGGGCTGGTTGTCAGATTTCAGGTTAACACCTTCTAAAGCTCTCTACTCGCATCCCACAGCCTCCAAACAGGGTAGGGTGGCTGGTTACTGCTGGTGTCCAGAGACCCTCACAGTGGCCAGCACCCGATGGTTGATGGACAGACTGCCTGAGATAACTCATTCCTTCATTCTTTCACTGAACACATTTATTAAGCACCAACCCGACCCAGGGAAACAGCAGGGAACATGGCAGAATCCCTGCTTTCTTGGGAGGTGGGGGTGAAGGTTAGGGAAGTCCTGTTTAAGAAGATGACATTGGATCCAAGACCTAAAGGGCATGGGGGAGCCGGTTACTTAAAATGAACTGGAAAGTCCCTTCCCTATGGGGTTTTGAGTAGAGGAATGACATGATGACATGATCTGACTTACTTTTTCTTTTTTTTTTTTTTTTTGAGATGGAGTCTCAAGCTCTATCACCCAGGTTGGAGTGCAGTGGCGTGATCTCGGCTCACTGCAACCTTTGCCTTCTGGTTTCAAGCAATTCTCCTGCCTCAGCCTCCTGAGTAGCTGAAATTACAGGTGCCCGCAATGCCTGCCTAATTTTGGTATTTTTAGTAGTGATGGGGTTTCACCATGTTGGCCAGGCTGGTCTCGAACTCCTGACCTTGTGATCTGCCCACCTTGGCCTCCCAAAGTGCTGGGATTACAGGCATGAGCCACCGTGCCCGGCCAAGAGATATAAATTTCATACCTTTTAAAGTATAAAGTGAACCCTATTAAAGTAAATTCCGTGGTTTTTAGTATATTCACACAGTTGTGTAATCATCACGACTATCTAGTTCCAGAACATTTTCAGTACACCCAAAAGAAACCCCATATCCATTAGCAGTTACTCCCTCACTTCCCTCTTTCCCCAGCTCCTGGTAACCATTAATCTACTTTCTACTTCTAAGGACTTGCTTCTACTGGACATTTCAATGTAATAGGATTATATAATTATATGAAGCCTTTTGTGTCAGGCTTCTTTCACTTAGCATAATGTTTTCAAGGTTCATCCATGTTGTAGCACATGTCAGAATTGCCCCTTTTTTTTTCGGTAGCTCAGATTACAGGCATGCACCATCAGGCCCGGCTAATTTTTTTGTAGAGACGGAGTTTCACCATGTTAGTCAGGCTGTTGTGAACTCCTGACCTCAGGTGATACACCTGCCTCGGCCTCCCAAAGTGCTGGGATTACAGGCATGCACCACCATGCCCAGCCACGTATATCTTTTTTGGAGAAATATCTATTAAAATCCTTTGCCTTGGCCAGATGCGGTGGCTCATGCCTGTAATCCCAGCTATTTGGGAGGCTGAGGCAGGAGAATCATTTGATCGTGGGAGGCAAGTGATCCAAGTGAGCCAAGACCACGCCATTGCACTCCAGCCTGGGCAGCAAGAGCGAAACTCCATATCAAAAACAAACAAACAAAAAAATCAAATCTTCTGCCTTTTTTCAAATTCAGTTATTGGTTTTTTTCTTGAACTGTAAGAGTTATTGATATATTATGGCTATTAATCCCTTATCAGATATAGGATTTATGACATATTTTCTGTCATTCTGTTGGTTGTCTTTTAACTTTCTAGATCATGTTCTTTGACATACACTTTTTTTTTTTTTAATAGGGTCTCATTCTTTCGTCCAGGCTGGAGTGCAGTGGTGTGATCATGGCTCACTGCAGCCTTGAACTCTCGGGCTCAGGTGATTCTCCCACCTCAGCCACCCAAGTAGCTGGGATTACAGGCAAATTACAGGCATGGGCCACCACGCTCAGTTAATTTTTTGTATTTTTTTTTCTTTTTTTGAGTGGAGTCTTACTCTGTTGCCCTGGTTGGAGTGCAGTGGTGTGATCTTGGCTCACTACAACCTCCTCCTCTTGGGTTCAAGCAATTATCCTGCCTCAGCCTCTCAAGTAGCTGGGATTACAAATGTGCGCCACCACACCAGTTAATTTTTTGTATTTTTAGTAGAGATGAGTTTTCACCATATTGGTCAGGCTAGTCTCGAACTCCTGACCTCAGGTGATCCAACCGTCTTGGCCTCCCAAAGTGCTGGGATTACAGGCGTGAGCCACTGCGCCTAGTCCAGACTTGATTTTTTTTAAAAAAACTTTTTTATTTGTGACAGGGTCTCTCTATTTGTCTCCCTGGCTGGAATGCAGTGGCACCGTTACGGCTCACTGTAACCTCAACCTCTTAGGCTCAAACAATCCTCCTACCTCAGCCTCCCAAGTAGCTCAGATTACAGGTACACACCACCATGCCTGGCTAATTTATTTTTTGTACAGATGGGGTCTCATTATGTTGCCCAGGCTGGTCTTGAACTCCTGGGCTCAAGCAAACCTCCCACTTCAGCCTCCCAAAGTGCTGGGATTACAGGCGTGAGCCACTGCCCCTGGCCTCTGAGTAGTACATTGGTTTTTTTTTTTTGTTTGTTTGTTTTTTGTTTTTTTTTTGAGGCGGAGTCTCGCTCTGTCGCCCAGGCTGGAGTGCAGTGGCGCGATCTCGGCTCACTGTAAGCTCCGCCTCCCGGGTTCCCGCCATTCTCCTGCCTCAGCCTCCCGAGTAGCTGGGACTACAGGCGCCACCACCACGCCCGGCTAATTTTTTTGTATTTTTAGTGGAGACGGGGTTTCATTGTGTTAGCCAGGATGGTCTCGATCTCCTGACCTCGTGATCCGCCCGCCTCGGCCTCTCAAAGTGCTGGGATTACAGGCTTGAGCCACCGCGCCCGGCCACATTTGTTAATTGATAAAGCTACATTGACACTCCATTATCACCCAAAGTCAATAGTTTGCGTTGGAGTTCACTCTTGGTGTACATTCTGTGGGCCTGGGCAAATGTGTAATGACGTGGATCCACCATTGTAGTTACCAGACAGAGAAGTTTCACTGCCCTAAAAATCCTCTATCACAGATGTATTTTAATGATTTGATTGAATATGTGGGCTGCTAAGAAGTGGGCTTTGAGCCCACAGGAATTGTGGGCTCAAAACATCTCAAAAAATTAAAACAAAAAAAAAGCCCTGAATTTTTGGAGGAATCTCTCTTGCTGCCCCTGTTCTCAGCCCCTGAATTTAGCACAAGCCAAGCAACATCGTCCAGTCCCCTGGGATGCAGTGA